AATTATATATATATATATAATTTAATAAATTTGATATTCCAATTAACACTATAGGAATCGGGATTGATAGCTATATGTTCGGCTGAAGCCGAATAATTTTTTTTTTTAAGTATAGTGCTTTTGGTTTTTTTAATGCTGATTTCATTCTTGATGGTGGTGGGTTGGTGATTTACCGAGTCTCCTCATGCTATAGCGGTAAGTCTACGGATTAGCAACTCTGAAATTCAGCGTTCGATTTTCGCAATGGACACAGCAGGCTTTACTATAAAACAAACAAACTAAATAAACTGCCCCACCGAAATATATAGATGCTTTAGTAAAGTGTGGTGCCTTAAAAATTTTTAATTTTGTACTTTTAAACGTTGTTTTAACTGAACTTTTAACAAGTAAAATATCATTTAATATATTTTGCCATGATTTTGTATTGGTTGTAATTTAGTAGTATTACAAATCTTTTTAACTTTAACTTGATCCAACAGATGCTTTTTTTTTGGGGGGGGGGGTAAAAAAATGCACCACGAAATTTGTGTTTGTAGAACTTTCAGTTACATACATCTGTTATTTTGTAACTACGTACATCTTTTGTTATATAGGTCACCGCTACAAATTGCATTCTTGTTTTTTTTTACTAACTCCATGCTGGGTCAGCGATGTGTCTCCGGACTTCTAACACTAAAATCCGGGATTCGATTCCTCGCTGTGGACAGATCAAGATAGTTTAAAGATTGGCCGCGATAAGGAAAAACGAATTATTCCTACTATTGAGTACACTTTTCATCATCCCACAATAACACCTGGTCATAATTTTCGTTTTTACGCAACGCTTTTCTAAAAAAAAAGAAATCTGACGAAAGTAAAATATTATTGACATGTAAATCTTGTAACGCGCTAAACTGTATTAATTTGCATTTGAAGAAAAATCATTAATATTTCACCTATTATCAGCAACTAATTTTTATCACCAGTCTTTTAAATTTATTACTGTTCAAGAATTAGACGCTAGGTATATTTGTAATAGTATTTTTACTTGTCCTTTATATAACTCTCCATTACGTTGCGCTACCTAGCGATACAAATGTTTACTACGAAATGCATTCTCGAAATAGTAACTTTGAAACGGGTGACAAATAAGCTATTACAATTACTCCGTTAACCAATAGAATATTTTATTACAATTACTCCGTTAACCAATAGAATATTTTATTACAATTACTCTGCTAACCAATAGAATATTTTATTACAATTACTCCGTTAACCAATAGATTTATGCTTTATGGCACGGTGAAGAATAACGGATGTTCTCAATCATTGTTGAGGGTTTTCACGGTTAAAATTAAAACCAGCATTCTTGATATTGTACTTATAACTATCTGCCTTCTTTTTAATCTGCCCCTCCACATCAAAAGTTTGGCATGGCCTGGTGGTTAGGGTACTCGACTCGTAATCATCAGGTAGCGGGTTCGAATCCCCATCACCTAACATGCTCGTTCTTTCAACTGTGGGGGCATTATAATGTGAAGGTCAATACCACTATTCGTTGGTAAAAGAGTAGCCCAAGCGTTGGCGGTGGGTATTGACTACTTGTCTTTCCTCTAGTTCATCACAGCTAAATTAGGTACGGCTAGCGCTAATAGCCCTCGTGTGGCTTTGCGCGAAATTTCATACGTGGAGATTCTCGAGAAATCAGCAATAAGTCTCCGGACCTGCATTACTAAAATCCGCGGTTCGATTCCCTGCTGTGGACAGAGCAAGATAGTAGGGAATTTTTATTAACATAGATTTGTACTGCCATTTTATACGCGCGCGCATCTTTTCTTTGGTTTATACGATCTAATGTTAACATACAATAATTAATTTTATTTGTTTTAAACTAGTTAACTGAATTTAATGTAGTTTTACCTCAAAAAAATATTTGTTATTATTGATATGAATTACATAATTCTTTTTTATTTCATTACAATCAAATAATTAACATTTATGAAAAGAAATGAAACTTTCAAAAAGTTCCAATTTTGTCTTTTATAATCCCAAGGTAGGTCAGCGGGAAGTTTACGGAGTTACAACTCTGAAATCCGGAGTTCGATCGTCCGCGGTGGAGAGAGCGCAGATAGCCAATTATGCAGCTTTCCACTAAAAATGGAAGTTGTCTTCTATATTGTAGGCCTAGTATGGCCTGATGGTTAGGGCACTTGAGTCGCAATCTGCTGCTCACGGGTTCGAATCCCCATCACCGGACATGCTTTCAGCCGTGGGGGCGTTACATGTGACGCTCAATTCCACTATTCGTCGGTAAAAGAGTAGCCCAAGAGTTGGCGGTGGGTGGTGTTGACTAGCTGACTCCCCTCTAGTCTGTCACTGCTAAATTAGGGACGGCTAACGCAGATATCAGTCGAGTAGATTTGCGCGAAATTCGAACCAAACCGAATTATTTATTTTTCTTTCACGTGCAATCACTGAGCAGACTAACTTTGTGTACAATATATCTATAAAGTTTTGACGGCCCGGCATGGCCAGGTGGATAAGGCGCTCGAATCCCCGTCCCACCAAACATGCTCGCCCTTTCAGCCGTGGGGGCGTTATAATGTGACGGTCAATCCCACTATTCGTTGGTAAAAGAGTAGCCCAAGAGTTGGCGGTGGGTGGTGATGACGAGCTGCCTTCCCTCTAATCTTACACTGCTAAATTAGGGACGGCTAGCGCAGATAGCCCTCGTGTAGCTTTGCGCGAAATTCAAAACAAACAAAAGTTTTGATTGTCTTGTATATAACATAGAACGTTTTATTGCATGCATTGTGAAATGTTTACACAATAAAAGTGTTATTTAAAGACTTAAAATAATTTATGTTTATAGAAACACAGAACTGATCATATGTATTTTCTCGTGTATAAAATGTGAATGCTTTAGGCGAGAAATTATTTAATAAGCTGCCATAAACGGTATATATATTCGTTGAATTATACATTCCATCAAAGAAGACGATGGTGTAGTTTATGTTTTCTAGGTTTTTTTAAAAATTTTTTACAAGAATGGTAGAAATGGAATCCCCATCACAACAGGTGGATCGGTTATTTGCATTGGAGTTTTCAAACACAACAGCTTTCCACCTTCCCCAGTTAATCGCCAAGTCACATTTGTCTCTATCTAAAGAAATAGAGTGAAAGAATTACATATTTGAACATTTTCTGTTTGTGGATGTATATAAAACACATTTTAACTTGTGAGGAATGAGCGTGCCAAGAAACTGTGATCGTAAACCAATGGAGTTTAAAAAAAATAAATATGTCAAACAAGAGCTGAAGAACAAGGGAATTTAAAACTCCCTAAAGTAAAAAAAGGAAATCTTTAAAAAAAATGTATTTATATAAAGCACCAGAATTTTATAATAGTATTCTAAAATGAAACAAAATCACTTTTTTGTAACATAAATATTATCTCGGTTTTAAAGAAATAGATAACTCGTATAGAGTGACCAGAAAGTTTAGTTATAATCTAAACATATTATATATATATGTATAACGTATTACTTGAAGTATTTGTATGAAATTGCATAAAAAAGTAATGAAGAAAATATTAATTAGTTTTATGATCCATACTCAAGTAATCTTGTAGATCATCTTTCCTTGTTTACGAGATTGTATACTTTTATTCTTTATTTGTACAATGAGTGTATTGTACTTATTTTATGAATAAATGGAATTAAAAAATAAACCACAAAACAAACAACAAGAAACAGATCATGACTTACTGTTGGAAAGAAAGGATCAACCATCATACTGTATCTTAGAGTATAATTCTGCCAACCACAAAACAAACAACAAAAAACAGATCATGACTTACTGTTGGAAAAAAAGGATCAACCATCATACTGTATCTTAGAGTATAATTCTGCCAACCACAAAACAAACAACAAGAAACAGATCATGACTTACTGTTGGAAAGAAAGGATCAACCATCATACTGTATCTTAGAGTATAATTCTGGCCATTCTTGATAGGACATGTTAAGCCATATCCCTTACATCCGTTCTGGTTGATTCCGGGCAATGGGAAATCCATTTCCATAAATCGCGCCATAACATTGACATCTATGAAGTTAGAATTTTGTTCTGAAAAGTAAGAACATTACGGTTATTAGAAAGTAAAAGGAGCTTAACAGTTTTCGTTAGTTTTATCATTGAGTAAAAGGTTTTAAACATGGCGGAAAGCAGAAATGATCGAGAACACGATTTATTAAATTTTAAAGGGACAAAAAGGAGCTTATGAGCCCATCAAGGATGTCCCTTTCAGCTCCCAATTATAACCACCCTTTACTACTCATGTATTCATCCAATCTTTTCTTGAAATCAGTTAAATTTTCTGCCTCCACCACCCTTGGAGACAGCTCATTCCAAAAGCCAACCACCCTGTTTACATAAATCATTCTCTTGCTGAAGAGCTTTATGGTACATCGTAATAACAAAACCTTCCTCATATCATGACACTCAATATGACAACTTATTCTGAAATATACATGTTGCAATATAGTCATATGAGACTGGATACGTGCTAACACTTTTGAGGGAATACATGATAGTTCTCGATCCCTAACAGTTTCTCGAGCTCAAGCGATGATTACGTATATATGCTGAGCAGAATACATATTGGGTAAAGGGGTGTGCATGGTAACCAACAGTCACAATAAATCATTGTTCTATTGAACTAATATATCCATAGGAAATGTATAGAACTTGGGGTTGAATTGTAATACCAATAAATTCGAATACACTTCAGTCGTTGTGAATATGGTCATTGACTGGTTCCATGATATATTGTGTAGTGTAGTTGAAATACTGTTATTATACACTCATTTGATTCTTCAAAATTCTGAAGGGGCTAGATTAGGAACACAGTGTTATAAATATTATAGGCATAATATAGTATCTTATGACAAGTATAATTTATATAATAAAATAACTGCGTAGGCGAGGAAATAACAAAATGCAAAATAAAATATAAAGTAGCGGTAAAAGATGTTAGGATGGTAAGCAAAAATAAGTGTTATACCAGAGTTTGTACACTTGGGTTTTGATGTTAGGGTGTATTTTCGAGTTACAGAACCCACTTTCCTTTTCTTTAGTTGTTTCTTCTTTTCTCGAATCATGTTTTCAAACTCCACTCTTTAGTCTAAGGGTAGTGATAGACTTCCAATGTCTTTTCCTCGTCAAATTTTTATAGGCCTAACGTAGTATCTTATGACAAATGTAATTTATGTGTCTAAATACTATTATTATAATACACTCTTCTAATTCTTGAAAATGCTAAGGGACTAGATTAGGTCTGTAGTGTTAAAATATATAATAGGCCTAACACAGTATCTTATGACAAATGTAATTTATGTGTCTAAATGCTATTATTATACTTGTTAAAATATATAATAGGCCTAACATAGTATCTTATGACAAATATAATTTGGCGAGTTTTTTACAACGACTTTATATTTTATTTTGCAAATATAATTTATGTGTCTAAATACTATTATTATACGCTCTTCTAATTCTTAGAAATACGTATGAGACTAGATTAGGGATGTAGTGTTAAAAATATTATAGGTCTAACATAGTATCTTATCTTATGACAAATATAATTTGGCGAGTTTTTTACGACGACTTTATATTTTATTTTGCAAATGTAATTTATGTGTCTAAATACTATTATACATTCTTCTAATTCTTGAAAATGCGTAAGGGACTAGATTAGGGATGTAGTGTTAAAAATATAATAGGCCTAAATATAATTTATGTGTCTATCAATTTCAACTATAATTCAGAACAACACACACTATAATAATAAGTGTGTGTGTGAGAGAATATATATACAGTTTCCCCCCTATTTTCTAAGATATGCTCGTTTGATACTTGACACAATACTATTTTTGATTTCTATTTATTACTAGTATGACGGCTCGGGCTTTTTGGAAGGGATAATATAAATAGGCAGATTAAAATATTGTAAATGGATTTTTATTGAATAAGTAAACCAATGACACAAATTATTCACATAATTAAGTTCGAAATGAGTATGATGTAACTTGAATCGGATTGTAGTGACATGTAACAAATAATTTTAAAAATGTCTTCCAAAATATATCTACACAACTTTGCTGGATTTGAGATTTTTTTTTTCGCATTTGATACCACTATTTCAATCGCCTAAGTTTAAAATAAATAGTGCCATTTTGTGTTGTGTAATGATAATATACTAAAAGCCTTTCGCATTACCTAAATACCTGCCCAAAAGCCTATTTGTCAATCTATCTCTTCAATTTGTATTCAATCTAAATTTTCTCCAGTTGAAGACGTAATGTCCAAAAAAATCGACTATGATGAAATTATATGTTTCTTTGAATAAAAAAAAAGAAATAATCTCATAAAATATTTTTTACATATCAATCTTATAATAGATTGACAATAAAGCGTCAACATCAAGAAACAAGATCCTTTCAGCATGACCTATAAACCCAGCTATAGTAAAACACCTGAGTTTCAAGCGAGTTCTACTTACCAGAATTAAAATCTACCTCGAGAGAAATGAGTTGACCTTTGGTGAATGAACATGGTTCGCTTTTACAGGGCCTGACTCGTATGTCACTGGTTTCACCACCTTCAGGGAAGACACAACAATTCCATATTCATATATAATATAGCTTTGAAACAGTTTTATACTTTATAGTGTATAAGAACAGTGTGTAATGCATTTTAAATTAGAAATATTTTCGTTCAAAGGAGCGATTCATTTTGCAGGCCCGGCATGACCAGATGGTTAGGGCGCTTGACTCGTAATCTGCGGGTCGCGGGTTCGAATCTCCATCCCACCAAACATGCTCGCCCTTTCAGCCGTGGGGGCGTTATAATGTGACGGTCAATCTCACTATTCGTTGGTAAAAGAGTAGCCCAAGAAATGGCAGTGGGTGGTGATGACTAACTGCCTTCCCTCTAGTCTTTCACTGCTAAATTAGGGCGGCTAGCGTAGACAGTCCTCATGTAGCTTTGTGCGAAGTTCAAACTGTATTGTAAAAAATACATACTAACTACTGGGCAATATAATTCTTTTGTTTTCTCATATAACTAACAGAAATGAGTTGTTATTCAACGAGCAACCATACACAAAAATGACTAAAGTGTAAATGCAACTAACCACCTCTTTTTATTTTTAGTTAATTTCAAGTAATATCATCATACCGATACGTATATAATCTATTAAACTATAAGAATGATGTATATATTTATGTCAGTTGCTTTTCTGTTAAACTAAGTACACTATTTTTAGCTCCGCCAGAGATGTAAAAAAGTTCACACTGCAATAAAAAATGTAAACTATTATGCAAGTTTCTTTAATCTTCGAACACTATGAATATATAAAATCAGGCTTTTTTTTAAAAAAAAGAAGTCGCATTTGTCCGCCTACAGAAAACTTAAATATTTTATTTCAAAACTGATAAATGACGCATAAGAAACTGCTACAGAAATCAGATCAAGAAATTATACCGTGAGAATATAAAAATGTAAACATTATGTTTACCAAACCGTTTTCCACATTTTTCTATTTCGAGGCGTCAAACGCTGGAGCTGACGAAACGAGAAAACAATTTAGGCAGTGGCGTAACTACAAAAGTTGCACTCTCCTCGCATAAAAAGTAATTGGGCCCACTACATTTATTCTTCGTGCTGACAATCCTTAAATTTGTCAGGCCCCCATTTTGCTCGGCGGCATACCTATGTCACTTACTTTAGGCCTTCAGGCTAAAAGTATGTTGCACATCAAATATTCTCTCGCATAATATTCTTCTTTTTTACTCCTTCACTTCATACATGATATAGGGGTTGGCTCCCTAAAGACACCGACTGTATAGCGTACAAAGCATTGAATATCTTCGTGTTATAGTCATCTAATGTCCTCTTAGCGACTCACGTTGCCAGTTTAGGAGACTGATTAATATATTAACAGTGGATTATTATTATCAAACTCTAGTAAGACTTAAACCATTTATGTTGTTTCAAGTCCCTTGTAGCAGTCAAGTATTGATATTGAACAAAAGAAATAGATTTAAATTATTTTCGTAAACATCACCAATCGCCAACTCTTGGGCTACTTTTTTTACCAACGAATAGTAAGAGTGACCATTACATTATAACGCCACACGGATTGAAGAAAACAAGGATAAAATTATATTTACAAGATAAATATAAAATGGGAATTTAAAAACCTGCAAATAGGAATCGTAAAAAAAAAGTAAGCAAACAAGGCTGGAGATACCATACAAATCCCTATTTTGACTCCACCAAATGTAATTCTAGGTAACAGCATGGGTTTTTTAAATTGAATAAATAATGTCTACATTATCTACATCCTTGTTTACTTACTTTTGGCCCGGCATGGCCAGGTGGTTAAGGCACTCGACTCGCAATCTGAGGGTCGCGGGTTCGAATCCCCGTCACACCAAACATGCTCGCCCTTTCAGCCGTGGGGGCGTTATAATGTGACGGTCAATCCCACTATTCGTTGGTAAAAGAGTTGGCGGTGGGTGGTGATGACTAGCTGCCTTCCATATAGTCTTACACTGCTAAATTAGGGACGGCTAGCGCAGATAGCCCTCGTGTAGCTTTGCGCGAAATTCAAAAACAAACAATACTTACTTTTTTACGATCTATGTTTGCAGGTTTTTAAATTCTAAATCTTTATTTATCTTGTTTGTTGGATTTTTTATGCTCAACTATGGGTAAAGGATTACTTGATATGGTAACTAACTTTATACATTGTAATGATAATAAACATAACTAATACCTAGCTGATACGGTTCATGATGATTTACTGTAGGTATTGACTATTTGATCGCACTAGTTCAAGGTGTAAAATTTTAAGATGCAGGTGGAGATTTGTTTGAGAATATAGTGAGCATTTATAGTTTCTGTGTAATTAAATTATCTATATATAACACATAGCAATGGGCAAATATATGCCTAGAATAAGACACAACCCCCACTAAGCACATATAAGATACTACCAATGGAAAAGCAGCCTTTTCAAATAAAACATATACGTCTGAAACATCGCTTTAAATAAACCTTCGTGTCTTTTAAAGCAATTATTCTACGCATGTGTGTAATAACATTTAATATTATGTGTATTGATTCTTTTTTTTTACTCCACTTCATACATGATATAGGGGTTGGCTCCCTAAAGACACCGATTGTATAGCGTACAAAGCATTGAATATCTTCGTGTTATAGTCATCTAATGTTCTTCGGTTATTGGCTGATAATTCCTGTTTCACCTTTTACTTAAGATATTAAAGGAACACCAGATATTTATAAGAAAGCTAACTTCAAGGGGTAATGATAACATCGTTTGCACTAGAATTATGATGTTTTTTAACTTTTGTAAAATATAGAAGAAACAAATCGACATTTCAATACCCCTACGACCTTTGCAGTATCCTATCTAATATTTCACAAAAAGTTTGAGTGCAACAGACCAAGCCACTTTTGTTGTAGGGTGGCAAGAGGATAATAATAAGAATTACAAACTGGAGATTTTGAGCGGGTTTTCTATTCCTTGTAAGTCTAACATCCGTGATTTTTTGTGCATTTTTATATGTGTACAGCCTTAGCAATCAACAGTAAAGGTTTTAAAATGTTGTTTGAACTTAATCTTTACTGTTTATATTGCTTATTGCTCGAACGTTCTATTGCTTGCGATCTCTATTACGAACCACTATAGTGGTTCATGATAAAGGAAGAGCCGTTGAACCGATGTAGATCTATTAACAAGTAAAGCTGCACTCAAGTACGTATTAAGGAGTCTCTCACAGTAGTTGTTCATGAATTTTGATTATTTAAATAGTGCCTAGACTACAACTATGTTTGTCGTATCCCAGCTGACCTGACGAGCCCTGGTATTGAACGAAATGGCCTCGTCGGCACTGGATATGACAAATATTGTGTAGTTTGCGTATTATAACATATCCTTCTTTGCTTTCACTCATAAATTCTTAGAACCATGTTCAACTACGTCTCAAGGAGTAGGCTTATCATGCTAAACTGCATATCAAAGACAAAAATACGAAACCCTATAACTCGAGTACTTTCGTATTGGCGAGTCTTTCTTCATCAGGAGCAAATTGTCTCGTTACAAAACCTGAAAGTAATTGGAATTAGGCACCGTTTTCATTAATGCTTAAAAGATTCTGTAAAACAAAATTATCGAAACACCACATTTTTAGCACATTTGTTAAACCTAAATATGCTTTTGACTTTTTGACATTAATGGAATCAAAAAGGCAAAAAAAAAAAAAAAATCACGCTCATAAATTTATTTCGTTATCCTGGTGGGTAGCTTATATGATAAACTAAGCCTAATTACTAATTAGCTGCACATTTTATGTTATTTGGACAAAAAAATAGGTTATTGACCATGAAAAATTGATAACTAATTGATAATTACGCATACGTGATCGTATAAGCTGATAACCATGGTAACCATTGATACTGGACAGCCATAACGATATCCTATTTGCATACATTTCATATTTTTAGTTTTCGACATTGTAAAATAAAAATAATCGTCTCAACTATCTGTGCTTATCATTTCCCGAAAATACTAAACCTAATAAAAATAGTAATTAAAAGATATATACTTTAATCATTTTATAGATTAAGTCAATGACTTAACTTGATCATTCTTACCTGTGTACTATAATTACTTTTGGGTATGTATGGGCTAGTAACCCGTATGTTATGTTTAAAGCGAAAGTAACATACTGTTGTGAGCTCTGTTTTTATATCTTAACTTGGACGATTAGTATTGGTTGGTAGAGTAAGTTTTGCCATGACGTGGCGATGTCTAGATTGTGTCTAGATTTGACGTTATGTCTCGAATTTTCGTTCGATTTTGGGGAAAAATATCACAGAAAAGCACCATAATTGCTGAAAGAGTTAGTCAGTTAATGAGTCAGCTAGTTCATTAGTGCGTTAGCACGTAGATACTAGAGGAAATTTAACTAGTTAGTGACTGTTTAGGTTTAATTGAGAGTTATATATATAGGTTTGTCAGCGACTGTATCTTCTAAAACTATGTTGTAGATGAAAATATAAAGCGCTAAACCTTTAATTAAGTGGACTAGTCTTTACATTATCTTTACCGAATAATGATAATAATAATAACAGCCTAACAATAGAAACCGTTACAACAATATGATAAGCAAGTAAAAATTATACGCATTAAATTGTTTGAAATAAATCAAAGACATACCAATTAAAGTTCTCTGATTGGACAAGAAAAAAATTAACTACCATCTCTGGATAAACATTGATATTGTTAAACTTCTATAAATTATTCCTTAAATAGTATTCTCCACTTTTGCCCATAGAGGGAATTTAAGAGAAGCCATTTCTGTTAAGTATGATTTTTTGTTGATTTTTCTTTTGTGGGAAAGGGTGGAAAAAGGGAGTTGGTTGTTAGTGCAACCAGTGAAATATCTGATTATAGAGTTTATGTTTAAAAAAAAAAAACAAGTTGGAGAAGGGAGCGCGATGTGAATCGTAGAGTAAATGTAGCTTATTGTCTACAGAACTTTAGACTGAAAAACAAAATAATGTAGTTAATCCAAAAAGGTTGGTTTTAATTTATAGTTTGTATAATACTCATTTGTATTCGGATTATTACAAATGATCTTGGGCAATTTGGTATTTACCAAACTGTACTCTAAGGAACCAAACACCGAGACTTGAGGAGTGGGAGACTCCTCATAGGTGGAGATAGGCACTCCTGATGGTCTTTATCATATAGTTCTCATCTGTATAGTATACACAAAAATACATATGTCTTGCATGCTTTTTCAAACCTCTTACTTTCTAAAATACTGTTTCAATAACAGAAAAAGTAAATTATTGTTTCTTGGTCATGATGACAAAAAGAGATAGCTGTTCAAGGAACACAAAATAAGCTATACCAAAACAATTGATTCTACTTATAGATTACTATGCTACGAAGAACAAACGTTTAACGTGTTCTATCGTTAGGTCGTTCAGTCAAAAGAATGCTTAGTTCAGTCCAGGTAACGTTAACAAATTAATTTATTTCTTCCATTGTGTATTTTGAAGGCTTCGCCCACTGGTAAGCCTAATTTCACAAACGATGGGGAGCTTTCTTCACAGAGAATGTACTTCAGCCTAATTCGTATATCCTAGTCTGCTATAGCATTTATAACTTGGTCACGTACAAACGTATCCGTCGTTTCTCTTGAAGCTTCCAGGTAACATAATCGAGCAAGCCTTTCCAGATCTTCTGTAAGTTCACCTACGACTTCTTCCTTCCCACATTCTCTGTTCCTGAACTTTGCTTTGGAAACTTTCTTCTGGTGTGTCACTCTGAATCTATTCGATAGTTGTCACGATTCCCAGTTGCAAGGTTACTAATGTTGTTGAAGCTGGTCCTTTTAAGTGGGCAGCACAATAAATAGTTTGTTGCTCACTATTTCTCCAAGTCACTCTGAAAATGATTTCGAATTGAGCCTGACATACCTCTCAGAATACTTTCCATCAGAAGCAGTTGGTTTCTCAATTTCTGAATGGGATTAGTTTGTGTCGTAGCTAGAGTAGTCCAGGAAGGTTCTGTAGTCACAGTTGGCACAGCAATAGTCGTAAAAAGTGTAAACAAGATAGGTTCTCCTATTCTATATTTTGTAGTAAATGGTGTTTTAAATTGAAATTCTTGGGTTGATACAAAAAGAGTATGGCCGATATGATCTTACATTTAGCAATTCATTTTCCAAATGTTTTATTCTATCATTGATGTTCTTTCCTAACTCCTTGATCTTTGTGTTTGAATATTTCTGTACATGGTTGATGTATTTTTGTACTAACTCATTCATGTTGTTGTTATCCTTTTGAACATCTCCAAATGCTTCGTCGATCTTGTATTCAGTAAGACTTATTTTGTTTTCAATTCTTTTTTAAATATTGTGTCTCCTTCATTTAACTCTATTCTTAAAGTCCCGTTTCTTACCTCTTGAACTTTTTTTTCATAACCTATAAATTTATCTTGTTCATTTTTATTATATATTTTCTAGTTCTTTCTTCTTCGTCTTTTTTAATTTTTCGCAATCTGAGGGTCGCCGGTTCGAATCCCTGTCACACCAAACATGCTCGCCCTTTCAGCCGTGGGGGCGTTATAATGTGACGGTCAATCCCACTATTCGTTGGTAAAAGAGTAGCCCAAGAGTTAGCGGTGGGTGGTGATGACTAGCTGCCTTCCATATAGTCTTACACTGCTAAATTAGGGACGGCTAGCGCAGATAGCCCTCGTGTTGCTTTGCGCGAAATTCAAAAACAAACAAACAATCGTCTTTTTTAATTTTCTCTAAATTTCTTCTAGGTGTTCTTTTAACTTTCTTTCTTATTTTTTTAACTTCTAATTTCTTTTTTTCTTGATATTTTTTTGATGTTCATGCCTCGTTCTCCTAGTTTTCTATCTCTATCTTCTCTATCATTTAATGATTTGTTCCTTTCTGCTTTTTCTTCTTTCTAGTGTTTCATCACCTCCAACAAATCTTCTATCTCGCTTCATACATGTTTTTTCATTTTGAAGTTCACTCAAAATTCATTTTTTTTATTTTTACCAAAAAAATTCCACTTCTGAAGCCAGTGTTTTAACGAGGTGCATCGTTGTGTGTGGTCTTTACGATTATTTAGTAAAAATAATGCGAAGTCCAATCTACGCAGCAATAACGAATTAACTTATTTCTTCACTCACGTTCTATATAGGCTACGTTCACTGGTAGGCCTAACTTCACAATGTTTCAAAGAAAATTTCGATCGATAATAAAAACGATGGCAGTCTAATTCTCTAACTCGATCACTGACAAACAGTATAACTCACGCTTTAATTGACACTGAACTAATTAATTCATTTTAACTCACGCAGTCTGGAGCTATTAAATTCTACTCTGTTTCACTAAAATTGAGATTCCATAGAGGACTAATCTTTCAAGAAACTTCTAGACTTTACAGAATTATTAAATCATATAAGTTTGTTTGTTTGTAGTTAAGCACAAAGCTACACAATGGGCTATCTGTGCTCTGCTCCCCACGAGTATCGAAACCCAGTTTCTAGCAGTGGATCATATAAGAATCTCCCACTAGTGGTCCCCCCGATTGGACAACGGTAAGTTTACGGACATACAACGCTAAAATCTAGGGCTCGATTCCCCGCGATTGGCACAGCAGATAACCCAGTGAGTAGTTTTGCTCTAAAAGAAGCTCCCTCTAGTGAACAAAATATATGTTTATAACATAGCTTACAGTTTAATCTCAAAATAGTATCTAAGTTAAGTTTATATACTTCATTCTCGTTTGTTTCTCTTTTACTGGTCACTGAAAGAAATTAGTAGCACATTTCTAAAGTCCTAGTTTCCTTTCTTTGAAAATGTTTATTCTATCTGCCTTACATTAGCCACACAGCGGTAAATTTGCGAACTTATAACGTTAGAAGTCAGGTTTCGATAATCGTGGTGGGCACAGCACAGATATTCCATGTGTAGCTTTGTACTTAACTACAAAAACAAAGCCTCACATTAAAATGATAACAATTCAGGAATGCCACTATCTCTATAACCACGAATGATCGTTATATGGTATTAATAACCAAAGACCAAGTAATATTTATTAAAGGTCAGTGTATGGGTATTTACTAGTCAAAATACTTAGAAAAATTATTAACTATTAGTTCTGCGATTTGAACGAAAATTAAAGAGTGACAACACTTACCGCAATTCTCAAACTGTTTGAGATGAAACGTATCTTCTCCACACTGACACCGCACAGAAGAGATAAAAATTAAAGTAATCACAATAGAAGCTTCCATACTTTTATTAGCAAACATATACATAATAACTAAAAGTGTTTATAAATAAATTTCTGGAAGTCAGTAAAACCTTAGCGAGAGTACACGCTGACCTACTTTGCTCTTGTTAGCCGGTGATCCTTTATAAACGTCTCACACGTGACCTGAAAAACCTACTTTGACTCACCTATAAGTCTAGATCCGGGGTAGGAGAAACTGTCGAATAACCTTTTTTTCGCGATTGGTTATAAAGTTTTCCTTTGACTTTCTCACACCTTGATCTACTTATATATGTAGTTCACCAGTTTCAATATAGATAAACAGATACGTATTTACGCATTCATCATGGTAGCTTAAATAGAAACAACTGTGAGAGGCATGGTTTGGAAGATACGGGAAAAGGCATATACTGCGTGAAATAAACGTACTTTTATGGGCGTTATTATGAGTGGGAAGGTATAAATTAAATTTTCGCTTTATCTACAATACGCCCTCCAGTGGCTCAACGGAATGTCTTAGGGTTAATAACGCTAAAAAATTGGTTTCGATACCCGCAGTGGGCAAAGCAAAGGCTGTCCATTGTGTAGCTTTGTGCTTAGAAAAACAAACAAATCAACAATACATTGATAAATTATAGGTGAAAATTGAGTAATGCTTTACTAAGCTATCGTATAAGTTTATCTGGTTTGCAATAAACAACCATGTATTACCTTTCATAAGATGCCTTCTTTTTAATACCTATTGTAATTCAATGGGTAATACGGCACATTAGCTTTATTTTAATACCTATTGTCTTTCAATGGGTAATACGGCACAATAGCTTTATTTTAATACTTATTGTCCTTCAATGGGTAATACGACACATTAGCTTTACTTTAATACCTGTTGTCTTTCAATGGGTAATACGGCACAATAGCTTTATTTTAATACTTATTGTCTTTCAATGGGTAATACGGCACAATAGCTTTATTTAATACCTATTGTCTTTCAATGGGTAATACGGCACAATAGCTTTATTTAATACCTATTGTCTTTCAATGGGTAATACGGCACAATAGCTTTATT